TTTTTTTTGGTTCAACCAAAGGATTTTGATTTGAATTGGGTGCAGAGATATCGTGTTGGATGTGGACCGGAGAGCGACAATCGACGAAAATGAGGATTAAGTACTTAGAAGCTGCCTTAAACCAAGACATTCAATACTTCGACACAGAGGTCAGAACATCTGATGTGGTTTTTGCCATCAACACTGATGCTATTATGGTCCAGGATGCAATTAGTGAAAAGGTAAAGGACTAAATGAGAAGGATTTTACTTGATTGGAGTGTAGTGTTGAATTGAAAATTGGGTTTTTTTTTGCTGTTGTTTGATTCTTGATTGAGCCGTTTTTCTTGTTTTCTTGTTTAGTTGGGAAATTTCTTGCACTACATGGCAACATGTGTATCTGGATTTGTGGTGGGTTTTACTGCAGTTTGGCAATTGTCTTTGGTAACTCTTGCTGTGGTTCCGTTAATAGCCATAATCGGCGGCATTCACACGGTCACATTAGCCAAGCTTTCGAGCAAAAGCCAAGAAGCTCTTTCACAAGCAGGAAATATTGCAGAACAAGTGAGAAAAAAAACACGGTTTAATTAATTTCTCCTCTACAAAACAAAATGGTCTTTAGATTTATAATTTCTTTCTTGGTGAATCTTGAGTTACACAGACGATAGCCCAAATTCGAACGGTTTTGGCATTCGTGGGGGAGTCGAGGGCCTTGCATTCTTACTCTTCAGCTTTGAGAATTGCCCAAAAGATTGGGTACAAAATTGGATTTGCTAAAGGTTTGGGGCTCGGGGCCACTTATTTTACGGTCTTTTGCTGTTACGCGCTCTTGCTCTGGTATGGCGGGTACTTAGTCCGACATAATTACACGAATGGTGGCCTTGCAATAGCGACAATGTTTGCAGTCATGATCGGCGGGCTGTAAGTATATACACATATATATATATATATATTTATATATATGGATTATGGATATTTACTTATTTATTGTCCTTAGTTGATATATCTTGGCTTTTGAACAATGTTAAATCTTGTTTGGATGAATAGTTCTCTGGGGCAATCTGCTCCGAGTATGGCTGCGTTTGCAAAGGCACGAGTAGCAGCTGCTAAAATTTACCGAGTTATCGATCACAAGCCGAGTGTTGAGAGAAATAACGAGTCGGGTTTGGAGTTGGTATCTGTAAATGGACAATTAGAGCTTAAAAATGTGGACTTTTGCTACCCCTCGAGGCCTGAGACTCGAATACTCAACGGTTTCTCTCTCACTGTCCCGGCTGGCAAGACGATAGCCCTCGTCGGCAGTAGCGGCTCGGGGAAAAGTACGGTTGTGTCTCTCATCGAGAGATTTTACGATCCCACTTCAGGTGATTAACATTTTCTTTATTGTGAAAAATCCAACTTTATGTTAGTAATTCATCCATTTTGAGTTTTTTTGATAGGTAAAAGGAAAAAATTATGAACTACAAGCCCTTTTTTCATGGATAGTTTTTATCAATAACTTTGACAGGACAAGTACTGCTAGATGGCCATGACATAAAGACATTAAAGTTGAGGTGGTTAAGGCAGCAAATCGGGCTGGTTAGCCAAGAGCCCGCATTATTCGCCACGACCATTAAAGAGAACATACTCTTGGGAAGGCCCCACTCGAGTTTGGTCGAAATCGAAGAGGCCGCTCGAGTAGCTAATGCGCATTCATTCATCGTCAAGCTTTCAGATGGCTATGACACTCAGGTTAGCTATAGCTAACTGGCTTATCATTAATGGTAACACATTATCTTAATCTTTTTACATTTTTAACAATTAGGACAAATTTTGTTGGGCTCAAGGGTTTGAATGAGTTATCTGGTCAACACAACTATTTTTAACATTGTCTCTGTACAAAAGTCAAATGTAAGGAAATGTTCTGTTCATGCATTTAAATAGAAAATGATAACATGGCTTCAGTGAACAATGCATGTGCCTAATGTTGGGTTGGTAAGTGTAAAAACAAGAAAACTCTCTCAAATCTATTATCATGGAAAAATGGACCACCATAAGTTTAAAATACAAGACAAAATTGTAATAATTATAAAAAAAAAAAATATATATATATACATTTAATTTGGAAAATTACAGGTTGGCGAGCGAGGTCTCCAGCTGTCGGGCGGGCAAAAGCAGAGAATAGCCATCGCAAGAGCGATGCTCAAGAACCCGGCAATCCTTCTGTTAGACGAGGCCACGAGCGCATTGGATTCCGAATCGGAAAAGCTCGTCCAAGAGGCTCTCGACCGGTTCATGATCGGGAGGACCACTTTAGTGATTGCCCACCGTCTCTCCACCATTCGAAAAGCCGATCTTGTGGCTGTCTTGCAGCAGGGCAGTTTGTCCGAAATTGGGACTCACGACGAACTCATCGCCCGGGGAGAAAGCAGTGTTTACAGTAAGCTTATTCGAATGCACGAAGCTGCTCATGAAGCTGCAGTCAACAATGCTAGAAGGAGCAGTGCAAGGTATATATATATCATTATTTTTTTTTTTTACCGAAAATTGCCAAAAAAATTAAAATTAAAAATGCAATCTTTCAACTTTCTCTTTCGCAGGCAGTCGAGCGCGAGAAACTCGGTGAGCTCGCCAATCATCACCCGAAACTCGTCCTACGGCCGTTCCCCATACTCGAGAAGGCTTTCCGATTTCTCGACCTCAGATTTTAGCCTCTCGTTCGACGGAGGGTACCCGAGCTACCGACACGACAAGAAGCTCGCGTTCAAAGAGCAGGCCAGCTCGTTCTTGCGCCTCGCCAAAATGAACTCCCCCGAGTGGGCCCACGCTCTTCTCGGCTCGATTGGGTCCGTCGTTTGCGGCTCCCTAAGCGCCTTTTTCGCCTATGTCCTAAGCGCTGTCCTCAGCGTTTACTATAACCCGAACCACGCGTACATGATCGAACAAATCGCGAAATACTGCTATCTGTTGATTGGCGTCTCGTCGGCTGCTCTGATATTCAACACGTTGCAGCATTATTTTTGGGACACGGTCGGTGAGAATCTGACAAGGCGGGTTCGGGAGAAGATGCTTGAGGCCGTGATGAGAAACGAGATGGCGTGGTTCGACTCGGAGGAGAACGAGAGCTCGAGAGTTGCCGCCAGGCTGGCGCTCGATGCGAACAATGTTCGGTCGGCGATCGGGGATAGGATATCGGTTATCATGCAGAACTCGGCACTTATGCTCGTTGCTTGCTCGGCCGGGTTCGTGCTGCAGTGGCGGCTCGCCCTCGTGCTCATCGGAGTCTTCCCGGTCGTGGTTGTGGCCACCGTCTTGCAGGTATTTTTGTTAAAGGCGAAAATACAATTTTAGTTTTGTTGGTTTCACGCCATAGGAATTTTAGTTCAATGTTGCAATTTTTCGCCTTATTTTGCTCACAAAATTTTAAATTAAAGGACTGAAGTTGCAACAGAATTTTGAATTTTAAGACTTAAAAATTGCTGATGAAAAATCTATGAATTTTGGAATTTTTGCAATTTCAGTCTTTAAATTGCAGTAAAATATTAAATCGTGCGAAATGTAGTATCTTAGGACTAAAATGTTACGGCGTTAAACCAACTAAGACTAAAAATGCAATTTAGGCTTTGTGAAATTCTTGAAAAAAAAAAAAAATCCTTTACACTCACTAATTGTTGTTACAACTCAAACTGAAAACAAAACACATGAAAAAACAGAAAATGTTTATGAATGGATTCTCCGGCGACCTCGAGGCCGCCCACGCCAAGTCGACCCAGCTGGCAGGCGAGGCCGTCTCCAACCTGCGAACGGTCGCCGCCTTCAACTCGGAGCCCAAGATTGCCGCCCTCTTCACCTCGAGCCTTCGGGCCCCACTCCGCCGCTCCTTCTGGATGGGCCAGATAGCGGGCAGCGGTTACGGGCTGGCCCAATTTGCGCTCTACGCGTCCTACGCCCTCGGCCTCTGGTATGCCTCGTGGCTCGTCCGCCATGGCCTCTCCGACTTCTCCCGAGCCATCCGTGTCTTCATGGTCCTCATGGTCTCGGCCAACGGCGCTGCCGAGACCCTCACCCTCGCCCCCGACTTCATCAAAGGCGGCCGAGCCATGCGTTCCGTCTTCGCCCTTCTCGACCGGAAAACCGAGATCGAGCCCGACGACCCTTCCGCGGGCCTCGCCCCGGACCGGATCCGAGGCGAGGTCGAGCTCAAGCACGTCGACTTCGCGTACCCGGCCCGGCCCGATTTCCCCATCCTCCGAGACCTCACCCTCCGGGCCCGCGCGGGGAGGACCCTTGCCCTCGTGGGCCCGAGCGGTTGCGGAAAAAGCTCCGTAATCTCATTAGTACAAAGATTCTATGAGCCGTCGTCCGGGCGGGTGACGATCGACGGGAAGGACGTCCGGAAGTACAATCTCCGGTCATTGAGGCGCCACATGGCGGTGGTCCCGCAAGAGCCGTGTCTATTTTCGACCACGATCTACGAAAACATAGCCTACGGTCGGGAATCCTCATCATCATCGGAGGCCGAGATAATCGAGGCCGCCAAGCTGGCGAACGCGCACGGTTTCGTGTCGTCTTTGCCCGACGGGTACAACACATTCGTCGGGGAGCGTGGGATCCAGCTGTCGGGAGGGCAGAAACAAAGGATCGCGCTTGCCCGGGCGTTTTTGAAGAATGCAGAGATTTTGATGCTCGACGAAGCGACGAGCGCGCTCGATGTCGAGTCAGAGAGGTGCGTGATGGAGGCGCTCGAAAAGGCGTGCTCAGGAAGGACGACTATCGTGGTGGCTCACAGGCTGTCGACTATTAGAAACGCGCACGTGATTGCGGTGCTGGACGAGGGGAAAGTCGTGGAACAAGGGTCGCACGGGCACTTGATGAAGAACTATCCCGACGGGATATATGCGCGGATGATACAGCTGCAGAGGCTCACGCCACATGGGCACGGGTCGGGTTCGAGTTCGTCGAATGTGGGCTCGTGATGAGGTTCGAAAAAAACAGAATACGAATATCTCGAGATTGGAGTAATGTTTTTTTTTTTTTTTT